GCAGTATGTCAGCGAGCTGCCATTATGTGTTCTGGTTCCCTGAGTGTGTTCCCTTCCCCCCCCTTGCATTCTGTTGTATTCTTCACATTCTTGTATTGTAGGTGCCTGGAACAGCTCAAGGTTATCCAGCTGGTGTGGGAAAGTGAAACTCTGTTATCTGCTTGCTCGTTAGTAGTGTCTTTCGCCTGTGAATTAAGGGTCTGTTTTGAGAAAGGCAAACCGTTACATTTGCATGTAATTACCTGTCAGTGTCTTCCTTATTCGCGCTGGCGGGAAAGGGATCTATTGGTTATAAATTAGTTCAAAGTTCCTTTATTATGTTACCCTCTGGGGCATGAGCCCATTCCTAACAATTCTCTTGTTCCTGCTTCTTTCAAACGCTTTGGAATAAATCTTGCTTTAACCTTTAAACGTGGATTTATTTTGGAGTCATTGGAGATTCAACACCTCGTTTGTACGCTTGTAGTGGAGGGACTCCACTTCTAGGCTTTAGTGTTTCCTTTCAAGGACAACTCACTCATCAATCCTTGAATCCATCCAGCCAGGTCCTAAAATGGCCCCTAGGATCACGCCAAGCAGAAAAAAATCGCTAAACCTCCAAATGCTTGTTCCGGTGGTCACTTCTAATCCAATACTGGGAATCAGGGTAGGACCTTCAGGGCAGAGAGTAGCCCCCCTGTACTGGCTACCGGAGGGAGGGAGGGCTCTCCAAAGCCCCCTGGCTAGAAGCCAATTGCCTATGGGCTTCATGGGGGAGCTTGCACCATCAAGCGATTCATGGCACATGTCTGCGGCCATGACCGGAAGTCCTGCGGAAATATTTCAATAAATGAAATTCAGTCTCCCTTTGATTGGCCCGAGAGAGAGAGGATGGTGGCCACCAGGTCGCCAGGGCACCCTTGCCTCTGGCAGGGGTAAATCGGGTTGCCAGAGCCGGGTTGGGAACCTCCTGGGGGTTTGTAGATGAAGCCTGGGGAGATCAGGGACCCCTGTGGAGCACAATGCCACAGAGTCCACCCCTCCCAAGCACCCCTTTTCTCCCTGGGAACTGAGCTCTATAGGCTGGAGATGAGCTGTAATTCCAGGGGAGCCCCAGGTCCCACCGGGAGGCTGGCATCCCTCAATTAGACGGGGCTTATTCGGGATCCATAATTACTCTGAACGTAAAAGTGCTGACGCCGGCAACCCGCCTTCCCGCTGAGCGGCTACAGCACACGGCATCGCCACAGCGACGTGAGGAGCTATTTCTGAGGCAAAAGCCGTCGTCAAATGCTCAGAGCGCCACACGCCTAGGCACTGCGCCTGAGGGGCAGAGGACGCAGGGAACCCCCGCCCGCCTTTTTCGGGGCGGCCACGCGTTCCGATCCGCCCGGCCGCAGCGCCCCTTTCCCTCCCTCTGGAGACCGGGACCGCCCTCTTTAAAGGCCTAAGCCTCGGCAAAGCCCGCCCACCGCCGGCAAGGCCACGCCCACGCGGGCGGGGCTGGCCGGCGGCGGAAGTGGGGAGCCGCGGCGCGGAAAGGGAAGAGTCGAGGACTAGGCCTGGCCGGACCCCGGGTGAGGAGCGTCGCCTTTTGCTTTCTCTGGGCGCGAGGGCTGGGCGCGGGGCGGCTGGCTTTCCCTCCCTCCCTCCCTCCCTCCCTCGGAGACCGGGACTGAAGGCTGGCCAGAGTCAGGCCTGGGGCTGGGGAGTGGATTAATTCCCCCCCCCACCCCCGCATTGGGCAGTGAGATGGTCGCATGGCTGGTAGTAAACCGGGTGGTATTTGCCTGCTGGAGAGGCGGTGTGTGTACGCATGTGTGGGCAATATGGAATCTCTGCTTTTTTCATACATCTGAAAAGATTTATGTGTATGTGGAGGGGGCACTGTCTTGGTAACCACGTATAGGATTGCTAATCTCCAGTTGGAGTCCTGGAATAACAACTGATCTACAGAGATGAAGTGGCAGTTTTGGAGAGGGCAAAAATCTGTGGTATCGCTTCTCCCTCCTACCCTGCTGAGGTTGTCCTGCTCCTCAGACTCCACCTTCCCCAAGTGCCACTTTCAGATCTCCAGGAATTTCCCAGGCCAGCGTTGGCAACCCTGCTCACAACAGTTTTGAAAGGAATGTGATGCTTGACCACTAAATACAGATGCCTCAGTTAGCTGTATCTTGCATCTGAGTGCTTTTTGCGCTTGGATGTGTGTTAATCTGTTAGGAGTGCATTTGCACCATTTGTGCTGGAACCCACCACTATCACTACCACACATGCATGTGCGCACACACGCACACACACTCCTCTTGGAGGAACTTCACCTTGGTTCCTACCTGTAACCTGACAAGTAAAGCTCTGAGATCACTGGCTTGGGCAAGAGTGTCACAGCTGCACACCTTTGGCTTGCCTATTCTGTCTCTGGTCATGGAGACCTCTCTGTGGTTGTGCAGTGCTTCAGAAACTGAAAGTACAGTGTTCCTTCTTCAATACAAAGAGCTGATCCTGGGTTTCCTCTGCCTTCTTGGAGCATGAGGTGCTTCTGGAGAACTCAGGAGACAGCACACATTGACATAGGAGTGCCCGTTCAGAAGCAGCTGCCTCTGTTTTATGGGAAAACAGGTCTTGGGGACTTCCCAATAATTTTGTGACTGGCCTTGCCCCCATGGAAACAATTCTGTGGTTGTGCTCGCTACTGTCTCTCAAGGTTCCAACAATTCCCACTGGCTCTTGATTTACACAGATAGTTGACTTTTTAAAAGGCTGGCAAAGTAGCTTTTTGTATCTGCAGAGATTTCAGAATGGCTTCTACTCCTGATACCCTTCAGCATTACGAGGAGATGTTTACACATCGATTTACATCAGAAGACAAGGAATATCAGAAATATGTCCACCGCCCTGCAGATCAACCTCCTGTAGTAGAAGACTGGTTAAACAGGTGACATTCCCTCTTGGGCTCTGAGTTTTTTTCTTTTGGTGGGGAGTCATAGGGCGGTATTGTAGGGAATGGGGGCTGCAGGCCCATAAATCAATGCAAAAACCTAAACACAAATAGAATGATCTGTTCATTAACTTTCAAAACAATTTGTTGCCCCTATAACTGTTGGTGACTGCCTGCTTTAACTGCAGTGTATCCTTCATGAAGAAAATCAACACAAATGTATATCGGTTGAACTTGTGGACACACAATGGGCAATCCAGACCTATTGAAGAGTAGTACAAAGCTGGGGGGGGGGGACTTATGCCTCTATAGTTGCATTGCGGAGTAGGTCAGTGAGTCTCAATGCTATCACTGGGGAAACCATAAAAAGACATTGTCCACAAGGAAAGGGCCCAGTTTTTCCCCCTTGGTCCTATGGTGTGGAGATCAGATGGAAGAGCAGGATGATCAAAGATACTTTAAAATCCCCGATGGATCAAAAGAAATGCATAATGTACACGCACACAATGTACACCACCTGAGCTCCTTGGAAGGAGGACAGGATAAAAGCCTAATAAATAGTTTAAAATCAATTTGTGAATATCACTGAATATAGACTGTTGGCCATTCCTGGTGGCTCACCAACAATTATTGGAAATGCTACTTGACTGGGACAGTAAACTAGGCTAGAGATGGAGAATTCCCCCCCCCCAGAGGTTTGAAGGTGATTTAAAGGAAGATAATTGCTTGTGGTCTGAACACCAATTTTGCCTCTCAGAAGAATGTTCTGTGGGTCCTAGTATTGTTTCCAAAACGAGGGGCAACAGTGGGGAAGAAATGGTCCTGTGGTCACCTTGGGAACTGATGCTGCCTGTCTAAACGATTTTCAGCACTCCTAAGAAGTGTCTCCAGACATGAGATTGGATCCAACCAACTTTTCTGCTGGTGAAAAAGGGAGGGTAGCTCTCATTGGACTACCCCAGTAAGTTATCTGTGGGGATCATAGGACCTGTGATTACAAAATCCATGAGGGACAGAGGTCTGTAATAAAACGGGTGGGATGGAGTGGGGAAAAAACCCAACTAGAACCAACCTGTAGTGAGGTCATTAATCCCTCAGAAGACAGCTGGTGGAATGCATCAGTTTGAAGGGTCACCAGTGGTGCGCACTAGATAGAGAGGTTTGTGTAGGAATAAGCCATGGATGGCTGCACAGGTGTGTTGTCCACAGTCACTGAAATCCTTGCTTGCGTTACTGAAGGCACATGCAAGAGCATGACAAAGCAACAGCTGCCAACGTATCCAGGAAAAGCTGCTCTTGCTATACACCATCCTGCCAATCCAATTGGTCAACAATTTTAGTCCCACAGTTGACATCAATAAGAAACATTTTGTCATACCAGGACGATGTTTTTTTGTTTTTATATTTTCCTCAGAGAACGCAAGGTGCCTTCCACACTTGAGATCCTTCAGAATTATGAAAAGATGTTTGCCAATCGATTTACGTTGGAAGATGAGGAGTACCAGAAATACATTCAACGCCCCACAGACCCACCTCCCCTAATAGGAGACTGGAGAAGCAGATCAGGGGGTCACCGATATAGAGATCGGTACTGGTTCTATTTTGTTAAAATAGGTTTCTTGTTTTTACAGAGGGAAATATCTTTCCAATGCGTTGTTCTGATCAGCAGCTAGTTTTATTTTGAAGAGGAGCTGGTAGGTGGCAAGCCAGAATACCACTTCGTCATCTCCACAAAAACAGTCTGCTGATTAGAACCTTGGTTACAGGTACTGCTTTCCACAGTATCTTCTTGCTTTTGGGTTGGCAAACCAGACCCTAGATATCTTGTTATGGGGACTTGCCCATTCTACACTGAGTGAGTTTCCCTGAATAATTTTTCTTCAACCCAGTAGGTAAGTTTTTAAAAAAGGGAGTTGTAGAATTCTTCTAAATTGCAGCCATGAGTGATTTTGCATTCTGTGCAGGACTGAGACAAAGTGTTCTTTATGCCAAAAGGAATGAATTGAATCTCTTGAAAGAACGGCCTTGGGGGTGATCTACGGCTTGCTTGGTCACAAAGTGATTTTTCTTGCAGCAGAAAAAAGGGATCCAATCCATTGCCTCAATAAACTGAAGATCCTGTCTTCTGTGGCCTAATTATTAACAGAAAATTGACCATGCTGAGTGGTAGACTAAACATTGTGTGTAATGTTTAGTGTCCAAAAAAATATTTAGTGTCCAAAAAAATATTTCATTAGCATCCTTAGATCACATTCAACGTGTTCTGCATTTTCTGGCCTGCATTTCATTTGACTTTTTGTGACTGAATATTTTTGGTAGGTACAAACCCCTGGGTACTTAGCAGAGGGAGATGATGTATATTGAACGAAGTCATGCTTTTTATTATTTACTCCAGGCTGCACATGCTGCCCTCCCAGAGCTTTTAAGCTTTATCTTGCCTACTGGCACTTTGGGAGACAGAAAAGGACGTTGTGCATTAGAAATTGATAGTGCTTTCATCACAGCTAGGGAGAAACCAGGCCAGATAATCAAGAGTCCATCAGCTCCTGTCATCCTTTAGAAAACAAACTAGGGGAAAATTATAAGAGGTTGATCACTCCACTAGAATGGAACCATTGGCTGTTCTTCTCATGGGTTTAGGCGTACTGTCCAAAGCAAAATGCTCAGCTAGATGGGGAGGTTGCCCTCTAGAATAACAGCGTAAGAATCAGCTGTAAGAGAATTTCCTTGTCTATGGGGTGGGATGGAGCAGGGTCCACAAAGCAATTTCAACTCCTGGAATGTAGCAAAGCAGCAGCTTCCCCTTTGGTGGCCTGCATGCGACTTACCATAGAACTGTGAGCCTAAATCCTGCATCGGCTTTGAACTGAAGAGCTATTTTGCTGTGCTTGGTGAATTTGTATACTGATGCCAGTGCAAATCTCCAAAGACTTCTCCCAGAAGGCTGCCGTCCCTCTCGAGTGGGCCGAAATTCCTTGAGGGGGAGGGATCTTCACTTTAAAACTAGTGTCCCTGGGACACTTCCTTGGGTCTTGGGCAGTTGGTTTGGTGCAGGTATTAGCTGGACAATAGATGTGATGTGCTTTGAGAAACATGAAGGTGCTGTATGACCACATTGCTAAAACGTGAGCTGTTTCGTTTCCCACTCCTTCAGGTTCCAAGATGGCAGACAGTTCAGAGGCAGAGGGGAGAGATATGACCGGCATGGAGGCTATCGATCTGGTCAGTGGCAAGAAAGAGGCTGGGGTAACAGCTACCAGCAACACAGAGAGCCGCATTATGCCCAGTACGGTTACAGCTCTTACTCTTCACGCCCAAAGTATGATTATTACTGATAGGTCCCATTAAAATGATGACTTGCAGTTGAATTTCCAGTATCGTAATCTCCCTCCTTCATTCTATCAGATGCAAATGTTGTTTTTATTCTGTTTTAGATTTTGAGTTTGTATATAATCGACTTGGTGGTTGGTTTGTTTTTTTAAACACAAAGCTTGGCAATATATTTCTGCAATATAGTTTAGCAAAGTTAGCAGATGTTTTGAAACTGAAGTGCAAAAGGTAAAACTGTGAGTTCTCTACCCTCCTGTTCATTTCTGCTTCCCATTTTGTGCCCCTGGCCACTGATATTTAATGGTTCGAGGAAGAAAAAATTGAGTTTGTATCAGATGGATTTGACAAGGGCCATAAGCACAAAGGCTGGGCCTCTCTTTCTGAAATTCTGACTCCTACTTTATTGTTGCTAGTGGTAGATGTGTTACTGATTTTAATCTTTCATCATGGGAGAGAAACATAACAGGTTAAATTTTTGGTACATTGTTTGGCTACTGCTAATAAATAGGTTTGTGTTTTCTAGTTTCATTATTCCAAATGTCTGTGTTGTTTTTCATAAATCCACATGAAGAAGAAGAAGAGGTTGGATTTATACCCCACTCTTCACTACCCGAAGTAGGGCCACGGTGGTTAAGACGCTGAGCTGCAGACTGGAAGGTCTGTAGTTTGGCACTTTGAGACCTGAGTGCCACGTGATGGAGTGAGATCCCGTCTCTGGCCCCAGCTCCTGCCAGCCTAGCAGTTCGAAAGCAAGAAATTGCAAGTAGATAAATAGGTACCGCTTTGGTGGGGAGGTAACAGCGTCCTTTGCGCCTCAGTGTTTAGTCATGGCGGCCACATGACCATGGAAACATCTTTGGACAGCGGTGGCTCTTCAACTTAGAAATGGAGATGAGCACCGCAGCCTAGAGTTGGATTCGACTGGCTTTCGATTCCTTCCTGAAGGAATCTCAGAGTGACTTACAACCCCTTTCCCTTCCCCTCCTCACAACAGACACCCTGTGAGGTAGGTGGGGGTGAGAGAGCTCTCCTGAGAACTGCCCTTGAGAACAGCTGTGAAAGAACTTATGACTGACCCAAGGTCACACCAGCAGTTGCATGTGAAGGAGTGGGGAATCAAATCCAGTTCTCCCAGATTAAAGTCTGCAGTCTTAACTACTACACCAAACATGGCATTGTTGGTTTAATTTTCCATTTAACCTGCTAAAAACCGATGAGCTAAAAAAGTCAGATTAAGGAAAGAACAGTAAAAGATGCGAAAGTTTAAAAAGGAAATCTTAATACAAGATTCATAAAGAATTGAATAGTGTCCCCTTAAAGTTCTTTTTCCCAGCCCCTTATTTCCGAAGGTCCTTAAAGAGCCGACGGCAGTGTGGCACAAAATTCAATGACTTGCTGAAACAGGGCCATTGGCAGTCTGTGAGGTCTTGCCTGTTTCTTTCATCTGCTGGGAACATGTAGGGACAGTGCTGGAAGCTCAATTGTTGTCAGTAATATGAAGCTTTCCTGCACCTTGGATTTATTTATTTATTACATTATATTTATTAATCACCTAATCTCCACAATTGTGGGGCTCTAGGCAATATACAAATTCTAAAAACATAAAAAACATAAAAACCATATCCAGCAAATTATTCAGTAATTAAAGCAAGTGGTTAAAATTTCTTGTATTTCTCTCCCACATCTGGTGTGTGGGTGCTTCGCAAGCGCAGGTAAGGGAGTACATAAGGAGTAGAGGATCCAGGTAGGGTGCCAGTCATTATGTAAACCGTCACTGTCCCCAACCAAAAGCCTGGTGGAACATCTCTGCCTTGCAGGACCTGTAGAGTTGCATATGATCTTGCAGGGCCCTGATGTTATTTGGCAGAGAGTTCCACCAGGTCGGGGCCAGGGCAAAACTTGACTTGGTGCTCCAACAAGCCAGTGCGATTGACTATGTACAGTCGGCGATGTTCCTGTTAGGACATGCGCCACCGCATTCTGAACCAGTTGGAGCTTCTGGGTCAGTCTCAAGGGCAGGCCAGTGTAAAGTGAGTTACAGTAGTCTAGCCTGGAGGTGACTGTCACATGGATTACTGTGGCCAGGTTGGAGCGTGACAGGAAAGGAGCCAGCTGCCAGGCTTGGCGTAGACAGAAAAATGCCAACCTGGCTGTATGTGTGACTTAGGCCTCCATGTTGAGGGAGGAATCCAGGGTCACACCCATGCTCCTGGCGGACTGTGTTGGTGCCAGTGGTGCCCTGTCAGGGGTTGGTAAGCTGAACCTGAGCCCCGAACCTCCGTCTTTGTCAGATTCAGTTTCAACCTGCTCTTTTTAAACCATTCAACCACAGCCTCCAAACCCATGGCCAGATTTTCTGGGACGGCATCCAGGCGGCCATCCAAAAGCAGGTACATCTGGGTGTCGTCAGCATATTGGTGATACCCAAGCCTGAAACTCTGTGCCAGCTGGGCAAGGGGGTGCATATCCAGCCCCATTCCTTTTCAGGCCCCCCACCATCCCCAGGGCATAGACCACTCCCTTATAAAGCGGGGTAACTGTATGTGCATAGAGAAGGCCTTACCATGGCCAGGAGACCAGATTAGAGGAGACGAGTCTGTGGAGGGAAGGGATAATGCTGCAGATTGATCTTAGCTTTGCATTCCAATGTGCTCGGCTCTAGCTTAACCCTGTATGCCTCCTGTCAGCCTTAACAGCACATGCAGTCAGGTCATGGCAGAGCACAGCTGGGAAGAGCTTTGGTGCTTGCTGGGTTTTGAGACCCCACAGCGGTCATGTGTGATAGTGGATTGTGGGTGTGACTGTATATGGGTATGATCTGCTTTCTCTGAATTCTTTATATGCTTTTTCTGAAATGAAACAAGATCTAGGTTAATTTTACATATTTTCAAAGTATGCACATGGGTAAAGTTCAGGACACAGAATCTCACGCCTTTCTGTGCTAGCTGTTGAATTATGTTGGCTATTTTAATTGGTGGAGTTGTTTCCTCCTCAAAAACAATTTGTGGTTGTCACGGCTCAGGTGGGGTATCACTTGACGCTGCCATCACTCTGGTTTCAGCCTCCTCTGAGAAGGGCCAGAGCACCCTTCCAGGTCTTTAGACCTCCCTTTTGGCCGAATAACAGGTGTGAGGACCAGGCAGAGTGAACAGTGAAAATAGTTTATTTTATATGACGTCAAACAAACAAGGTGCAGAATTATAACAGGTTAAATTTTTGGTACATTGTTTGGCTACTGCTAATAAATAGGTTTGTGTTTTCTATTGTTTATTGCAAGTCTTTTCTTGCCTTTGTTAGCCGCCCTGAGCCCTACGGGGAAGGGCGGGGTATAAATTTAATAATAATAATAATAATAATAATAATAATAATAATAATAATAATAATAATA